TTTTCTATACGATGCTACACTCATCACGAAAGAGGAATTATTTTGTAATATATTTTTCCGAACATCACATTCCTTACGCGAAATTATCACATGTTCAACAAAAACAAATACTTGAAGTTTTGCGATTATGGACAGACATTTATGCACCATAAAATAATATCATTCCATCTCACAGGTTCTCATCAGCTGCACACCACTATCTAAAATTACAATGGTTATATATAATAACATTTCATACTTCAATGTTTGAAATTTAATAGAGAAAACATTATAAGATGAATGTATCCGGAATATAAGTATTACAATTTCTAGTTTCAGTTACCACCAGTTTATATGCTATCAAACTATGAATAAAAGTGGGGGGAGGGGGTTGAGAGAAGACAGAAAACAGAAAAATCGGATAAACAGTGTTAGCTTGTACGTCAACATGGTAACTCAAGAAGGTCAGAGTTCATCAAATTGGAAACTTGCTTAGTGAACTGAACTCACTAGTGTGTATGACTAATCACTGTAATGAAAGTAATGCGATTTCCAAGGGAGTGAGAGATTAACTGCACTCTGTTTCTGTGTGCATAAGTTTGGTCTGAAACGTTTGATTGCAATTGCTTCAGTAAATCGCATTAGATTTGCTGTCCTCTATATGCTTAATATTTTGAAGGATTTGGAAATCTTGACAAAATGACCTGTATCTACAAGATGTCTGGTAATTGCACTTTGTAAATATCTGCTTCCTTTTAAGCATAAGTTTCTTGGAATATGCTCTGTCCTTCCAATGTATTTGCTGTCTCAGGTGCAGGCAAATTCATAAATGCAGTTGGAGGTAACATCAGCAGGGTACTTATCCAGCTTCGATTGGCTTATAGGGCATGTAGTTCTGTATAGCGTCGCCAGCTTAGCTGCAGGGAAGCATCATTTTATTGCTCCTTTCATCCTCTTATCAATCTTTTGTGATACTGCTTCTCCTTTGTATGGGAGGCAAATGAACACTTTCCTTTTTTCAACTGTTGGATACTTGGCTTTCTCATCTTTTTCTTCACTGTACTTTAGGATAAATCCCTTTGGATACCCATTTTTCAACAAAGCTTAATTCTTCTTCTACCTTGTTAGGCGAACATAACTTCCTGGCTCTGTCGAACAGTGTCCTTACTAATCCCCGCTTATAGCTTATAGGACAGAAACTGTTGTAGCGAAGATACTGTCCAGTCCAGGTTTATTTTCTGTAGACGGAATTTTCGACCGTTCCATCGTTTCTTCTTTTTACGTTTAGGTCCAGGAAATTGAACTCGTCGTTGTGTTCATATTCCATGGTGAATTTAATGTTTGGGTGGATCTCATTAAGGCGGTCAAATAATAAGGATGCCTGACTCATGTCGTTACAAACAACAAACGTATCATCGACATATCGGTGATAGTATGTTGTTTCATTGATAGCGTCACTCAGTCGCATGTGTTCGAGATAACCCGTGAAGATGTCGGCTAGAATTGTTCCTAGAGGTGAACTCATGGCGACCCCATCAATTTGTGGGTAGAAATGGTTCTTGAATTTGAATTGGATGCCTTTTGTGCAAAGAATTAGTAGGCTCGGCTCACGAAGCAAGTCTACAATTCGCTGAAATTTAGCCTTCTGGAGTTGGGATGTTGACGTACAAGCTAACACTGTTTATTAAATTTTTCTGTTTTCTGACTTCTCTCAACCCCCTCCCCCCACTTTTATTCATAGTTTGGTAGCATATAAACTTGTGGTAACTTGGACTAGAAATTGTAATACTTATATGATGGATGCATTCATCTTATAATCTTTTCTCTATTATCTTTCAAACATTGAAGTATGAAATGTTATTATATGTAATCATTGTAATTTCAGATAGTGGTGTGCAGCTGATGAGAAGCTGTGAAATAGATTGATGATATCATTTTGTGCTGCAAATCTGGTCTTTCTTTCTCTGTCGAAATTTACTAAAGGAATCAAATGTATGAAAGTTATGCATCACTTGTTCACACGTTATCGAGTGATTAAAGTAGAACTAAAACCTAAGCTACATCTGTGTCCTGTGGTTGAATAGAATTACCTAACTAAAAAGGCCATCGATTTAATTTTTACTCTTAGTAGCTCCTTTTTGTCATACCTAATCACCATTTATTGGAAATTAATTTGCCTGAAGGATACATTCATATATTTATATGTGTCGTGTTATTTTTGAAGTCTTTCGAGATTTAAAGAAGTGAAGTGATGGTTACTGGGTTCGAGTCTCAGGGAGGGTCCTGTCACTCACTGAGAGGCAGATAGATGAACTGATGACTCCCGGATAGAAACAGACCTGCAACTTGCGTTTCAATACCAGCTGCTTTCTACTGAATACCTTTGTAAGTTTTGACTAACTTCCATAATCGGTTAAGCTGTTATTAACTAGTAATATAGAGTTGACAATCTTGAAAAACTATGCGAGTGTAACATTAAAATAAATAATCTGGTATTAATAAAGATTGAAAAATGTTTGAATAACTATTAAAATCAGTCAGACATATAATATTAATTAAGGTCAGTCCTACTCAGCATATCCCATTCAAGTTCTCACGATTACAATACATAAATTAATTTTTACAAGTTTGACCACGGATTTATATCAGTTAGAGAACCATTGAAAACCCACGTGGAGTACTGTAAAGCTGTTTCACCCTAGTTTGGGAATCATCGGCAGTGCGCACACACCACCAGGGTTCGATCCCATGACCTTTCGGTTACAAAGCAAGCTCGTATACCATTCAGCCACTGGGACCCCACCCAACTCAATGGCCCATGAATTCTAACTTCTACTAATTCGTGGTTCTCTAACTGATATCAATCCGATGTCAAACTTGTAAAAACAAATCTAATCCTTACAAACCAATTCTTGAAAACAAAATTTATTATTATCTTTACCATAAAAGCCTGGGATAAGACGTATACACTTTAACTTGTAATGTAGTCAAAGATTTAAATTCAGAGGAATTTCAACTGGTAAAGTAACCGGATGAATAACATCCATATCCCGAAAACATTTATGTGAATTTAATTACTAAATAATGTGTAGTGGGTGATTTAGTGGATTTACATCTAAAAATTAATACAGTAATAACAACAAATTCTATTTGATGACTGTAAGAACCTGAAATCACTTACTGAACGAAAACTATTCTTCTTTCAGACCTACATTTAATTCGTTATAAGGTATTGTTTAAGACCCTGAAATTACTCAGTCTTTTGATGAATTATATTGAAATCTTTCAGTGGATCAATCCTAGAGATATGTGAAAACCAGGAAATGATTGTCCTCAGTGTGCGCATATCATATGGTCAAGCATTTTAGATTGACTTATCGTAATCTGTTTCTTCTGAAATAATAGTGCTATATGCTTTGTGTAGCTGTCAGCCATAGTTGACACGGTCAATAAAATGTATTCGGTTGCAAAGTAGACAACACTCTATGACAATATACTGTAGATTATAAGAAACACCAAAAGATACTAATCGCCAACAAATCAGGCATAACTCAACCAATCCTCTTGCAGTTTGTCAACTCGTGTATTTTACCTATTCTTCTTTACCGTTCGCCCTTATTCTTTCCTGGATTGCTTAAAAAAGACTATATCATACTTCGTAGAACTCTGAAGACTGTCATTAGGACGAGTGGTATCCCATTGGGCCATATCGTTGACACTGTCACTGATAGGCACTTGATGTCATACAACAAATTTGTTAAAGGAATTTTGTCAGACTGTGAGCACCCACTCTACCCGCAGCTCCAACCTTGTGTCTCCTCAGGTAAAACAAGAAGTCTTTTCAGAAGAATTTATGCACGCACGTCTAAGTATGAAAATTCCACTATACCATATTTAGCACGTACTTCATGTGATGAAAATAGTGTTAGGCATGAACTAACTAACCTTCTTTGCACCACTAAATAAACCATATCCTCCACCCTTACAACATCAAACTTTATTGTTATTGTACTTCTTACATTTATAATCCTCTCAATTTTTTGTTTTTATTTGTTTATTTTTTCATAATTGTGAACATTATTTAAGCTGTGTTATAACTGTTAATTTTATATTCCCCTCACTATACTATATCAGCAGAACATTAGATCCAATATTCTATAACATTCTAAAGTTTCCAAACTGAATCGACAATACCGTTTGAAACAAACTCACTGTTATTATTATTATTGTTGTATTTAATAATCTCAATTCGTGCTTCGAATATTTTTGACTTTATGTCGTAAATGTGGACAAATTCCTCCGGTTAATTTTGTTTTAATTATTAATTTCATTTCTATTTTTAGTAAATCAGATGGAATATTGTGACGAATGCTGAGAATTCCATTCTGTATTATAAGTACTGTTTTTGGAATAAAATAGATTATTATTATTATTAAAAACTATGAGTGCTAGAGTCGAGCACCACTAGGGAAACTGTCACACAGTCCGAGCTAAATGACGTCTACCAAATGCCGAAAACACTAGCAGAATGATTAATGACAAAAATATGCCTTATATTGTTGACTTTAAAAGAAATAACTAAAAGGCTTAATAACAGCAAACCAATATTTTTTCATATAATTTTGTGCTCTTGTCTTAACGATTTAATTACGAAGGTTCCATTGTCCTTCTGGACAACATCTCTAATGTCTACTTTAATGTGAAGTAAGCGCAGTTCAGTCATTTCACTCGGAGAACACAACTACATTAAAAATATTCACCTAAACACCAAATCTGCATTATTTTGAAAGCTAGAAAATTAGCACTTCATACTTAGAACATTTCAACTTGTAGACAGCTGCTTCAAACATAAACACCCAACAGACAGATGATCCCTCTATTAACCAAAACAGTTTGTTTGGAATGAAATATGGTGTAATAAATGTATCACTGACTTTCTATTCAACAGTTTACTTACTTAGCTCACAAGATTTATAAAAAAGAAAAAGAGTTCAGATCAAAATAAAAGTATTCAGACTCACCAGTAAAACGTAGAAAAGTGAATCGAAGAAAGTAAATCAAAGTTACAAAAAATTGGGATATTTCAACTTTTACGCTACATTATAATGATTGGTTATAGCATTGGATGTCGAATCATTTTCATTGGTTCATTGTGTTTTACTTGGTGATGTTACGCCCTAAATGATCATTTCTATGGATACAATTATAATTTCTAACTGCTATGACCTCTCAAGTCCAGCTGTTACCAGAAAGAACATCAACTAACTCGCATCAAAAGAAAAATAATACTGAGTGTATGACTTCAGAGAATAGTTGATTTTAATTTGTGGTTTTTGAATAATCAATTTGGGCGATAATTCTTACTTTCCTTTATTTTTATTTTTCAAAAGTCTCAGAAGGCAGCCATCAGAGGATACAGATTGAAATAGACTCTAAACTCGTAAGCAGTCACTAACATAATATATTTATAATCAGTTAGAGAACCATTGAAACCAGGGAGTACTGGACAGCTGCTGTTTCATTTTAGTTTTGGAATCATCGGTAGTACGCACCCACCGCCAGGGTTCGAACCTATGACCTTCCGGTTACAAGGCAATCTCGCATAGCATTCAGCCACTGGGACCCGATTCAATGGCCCTTGCAAACCAAACTACAGAGAAAATTAATCTGATGCTCGCTAGTGACTTGCTACAGGATGGAGTTTCCTGGAGTTCTAGTGAGAAGTCGTGACCAGTGAGGTCCAGTTAGATGTCACGTGTGTGGATGGATGTCCCACCAACGACAATGGTTGGGGTCGCGCTAAATCACGAATTGGTAGAAGTAAGAATTCATGGGCTGGCCATTGAATCGGGTCCCAGTGGCTGAATGGTATACGAGCCAGCTTTCCTTGTAACCAGAAGGTCGTGGGTTCGAACCCTGGTGGTGGCTGCGTACTGCCGATGATTCCCAAACTAGGATGAAACAGCAGCTGTCCAGTACTCCAGTGTTGGTTTTCAATGTTTCTCTAGTTGATATCAATCCATGATCAACTCGTAAAAACAAAACTAACCCTTACAAACCAAACTATAGAAAATATTTATAATCATAGGGACAAGCATGTTTTCTTTCAGATTTTAACTTACGCTACTCAGATATATCCTCTACTACCTAGGCCACAAGTCTCATCATGTACGACTATGAAATGTGATTAGGTCAGTCATTGAATTCTTACCGATGCGAATATATGACTTAAAACATTTAATAATGAAAGTGTAATTCACTGTATATATATGTAATACAACTTACTTCGATAACCACAACATACATGTTCTTGATAAATTGCTACCAGCAATTAAGATTAGATGGCCACGCTGGACGATCAATTATTGATAGTAACGATTGTTGTGCGCCTGATCGCTGCTGCGGTTGAATCACTAAGAGTATGAACGAAAGTTGACTTTACTTTGACTCTCTGTTGGCACATTTGATGTTGAAACTAGCTCTCGAATCACTCAAATCGTTAGTAAATACAATTTTCAGAAAGCATAAATATAATACTGTCTCACGTAATATGAACAGGAGTATTTTTATCTTAATTAGTACCTTTTTGACATTTATTTATTTTGATTACAGCTTGATGCCACACCGTATTTTCAGTAGAAGTATGGAATTTTCAGCATGGATATCGGTAGCCCAAATTTCGCAGGCCGACCATAGATATCGGGTGTGCGTCGGCAGGGAATCGAACCCTGGACCATGTGCATGGTCGGCGAGAGTCGTAACCACTGTGCCACCGATGCACTTTACTATATTACCAAGAATACTTACCTAGGACTGTAAAGTTACAGAAATGAAGTGAATGTGTATCTTCTGATACCTTAACATGACAAAAATGTGAATATAAATGTGTGAAAATAAACAGTTTGTATGTATAGCTTTTGTATTAAAAAACTGAACAAAAGTAAACAATCTGTTTAAACTTTCTGGCTCTCACCCTTTTTTAATATTTGTTAGATATAATTTGATGAATCACTGTTTTAGTAGGTAAGATTTTTGCATAGATCAGGTCATGTAATTACTAGTCAGAAAGTTAAGAATGCAAGTTTTGTTGGGTTCAGTAGCAGTCAAATAAATCTACCTACCTCTCGATGTGTTATAGTTCTCCGAGGAACTCACACACACACTGTTTATCTATCTATATTTCACAGCATGAATCACTGTGCTAATGGGTTAAGGTGATCATGTTTGGTATAAGTGCTTATAGTCCAACAAAACAAATTCTAGTCTAGTATTCTTGATTTATTCCATCTGTATTGATAAGCCACCGGGAGTGTGTGACACTTTTATGCAAATGCAATCAAGATTACCCTTTACCTCATGTTTCGATTCTACATATACAGTATCTGAAGTGTTATGTAACTTAATAAATGTCATGATATAAAAGCTTAATAACTGTTTCCGGGCTCAGTATTACGACCGCATACCTCAGTTGTAGGTAAGTTATCAGATCACAGTGACTTTGAACAACCAATTAAAGTTCAGAAGCAAAAAAGTAGTATAATCGTTAAAAACATTGCCAGCATGATATCACTCTGGATAACTGTCTCTTATGTGTTGTAAGAATGTCTCCCAGTAATCCTAAGGATAATCTATAGAGAAATCCTACCATATGCTATAGAAGTATTCAACTAGCTAACTCTAGATTTTGCTACTTTGAGATCCATTAGTATTCCTGACTCTTCTCTTTAACCTACCCCTAACCCTACCGGATAGTACAAAAACACTTTATCTTCACTGGACCCACCCACTGAATCAGTAAACACAGGAATGATTTGATGTGGAATGCACTTCTGGAGCGTTCCCTAAATCTGATTATCTCTTGAAGGTCAACTTTTGACAGACCTTGACTTTGACTATGGCAGTTTAACTTCACCGAGTCAAACTACCAGCAACAGAAACAACATATACCATTTCTAAAGTACCAACAAAAACATCTATATGTATTTTTCTAGGCGTTAAAAGTAAGTTGAATAGTCTTATTGAAAAAGAATAAAATAAATATGGGATATTTCCAACGAGCATTTCACACGACATTCCCACCACCTCAGTCAGATAGTGTGTAATATCATGTTTACAATTATGCACACGATACTCTAACAGCAAATCTAACTGTATATTCCAACAAAACACTTGAACTACTGAATAAGGCAATTACCTTCCCATGAAGATTATTCAAGACTCAAATAATGTTTAACAGTAATATTAACTGATGACCACATTTCGAGCACAAACTATTGCTCATAATCATATCAAGTTCCTCACACGACCTTTTTCCTTCATTTATATACATGTGTGGAATCGATTAGATATTGGAATAAAAATCAGTATGGGATAATGTACATTCAGAATTATTAATATGAGTGTTGTTGATCAATTACAATCAGATAGGAAATAATACGAGTTTTTATAGTCATAATAAGTAACTTGTTAGAATGTTGTGATGTGCTTGAATTGAAATAGAATTTTAAGATTATTTATTATTCTCTTCTGATTTGACTGGCGGTAATAATATCTTCCATATATCTGGTATTCGCATTGAGTCATTCCTATTGCATGTGTTGGGTGTAGACTCAATGAACAAGGATTCAGTAATCAACCTCTCTTGCTCTCCACCTACCTAGACTACTTCTGAGAAGTTTATTCCTCTCCCACCATGCTATTGTGTGGTTATGTGTTAATACATACAGTGCAGTCGCTGAGCTTTTTTCTAAATTACTTATCTTCGCGGGTGGGGTCAACCACTTTTACCTTGGCTGAATTCTAATGTTCTGACAACCTGACTATCCCCGACCTACTAGTTTCACCTATGTAGTTGACTTAACTCACAGTCATTGCAAGGTATTTTGTAAATTATATTATTTTGTCTAATTGCGTAAACCGACAGGGTCCTTTAGCCTACAGAACTTGTCCTACCTGAGTGAATTTGTAGCTTTGAATGCCGCCCTAATTCCTGCTAATTACTGTATAACAGTGTGTGATTTATCAAAATAAAATCCTATCCATAATGGAGTTATACTCTACCACAGAGCCCACGTTTTAAACTTATAACAATAATGTTTAACAGGATTCCCAAATTATGACAGACATATGACTTCAGAAAAGCCACTTTGAAACACTAATCAGTTTGCTGAACAGTTGAGATAACATTAAGGAACAAATAATACACTTTCAATTCGAAATAATGAACCAAAATATGGTCAGAACCAGCTTGTAATTACTTCTTATAAGATATTAGATACTTGCTTATATTTATAAAGTGGCAATCATGATGATATCTTCACATTTTGTCGACAGATCTACACTTTTCTAGACAGTTTCGTATCCCTAGGTCTATAGGAATAAAAGTCGGAAATGAAATAATTGAGTAGTTAATTAAGTTGCTTAAACTACGTCAGCCATATTAGTGTTAGACAGATTTGAAATTAAGAGGAAGTGGTCAACACCAGCGGTTTTAAAAATAAACCTTAAATTAGTGTGCTGATTACATCACCTCATGTGAACATGTTAGTTTCATTTATTGCTTGCGAACCTGGAAAAAGCATGAAGTCGTCATGGTTGATTGTATTAGTTTGAAAATTTGATGTAAATGTAGAATCACGGCACTCTGGTAGAATACAACTTTAAATCAGATAAGTTTATTTGATATAATACGCAGCAATACATTATTACACATTATAATAGAGGTCTTGATATCATTTCCAGTCTATCAGAATCAGATACAACGCTATCACAAAGATATCCACTGGACACGCTTGAAATTCTGTCTAGAAAATAATTATTTTACATTTAAAGGGAGTTTATATAGACAGACAAATGGTGTTGCAATGGGTTCACTTGTCTCGCCAATAGTCGCCAACCTTTTCATGAATAGATTCGAAAATAACATCTTTTCAAGCATACTCACTCCCAAAATATGGTTAAGATATATAGATGATTGCCTTTTAGTATTGTAACGAGATCTACACAGTTCATTCTTGGAGAAAATAAACTGTGTATCTCCCAGAATCCAGTTTACTTCGTAACCAGAATCAGACGTCGATGAACTACCACTTCTAGACTACCTAATTAAGAGGAGTGAAAATGGGCATTTTGGTGTATCCATATTCAGGAAGAT